TCTAGGTCTGATGCTATGTTTGAGCGACAGTATCTCAGGAACTATTAAAGATAAAAACATTAATTTATTCATCTTTAATCTGTCCCAATGCATTGTTGTTTACATGTCAATTCCAATTTAAATGTGTAAATAATAGCTGTGCATACCCAACAATAGCCAACAATGACATATATCTGTCATAGCTTTATAATGTTACCTACATATTAAAGTTGCGCCTGTCTATATTGACTTCCTTTACTTTTAATTCTTTTACATTTTGGAACAAAATACCGCCTTGATTTTTTATTTGAGCTGCAAAAAAAACAGCAAAGACGTCTTTAATTTCAAGCCCACTTGGTGTGTTTTCCTCCAACTGTTTAAAAGTTTTTAAGAATTCTGAAAATATCTTCCTGTTTAAGTACGATTAGACGAGACGCTGGGTTTTCAAACATTGCTGAGTAATTACTTTTTGTAATTAAAACGAGATATTTTCATTTTCTGCTACTTCACAATAAAAAGTAAATAACAATAATAACAAAAATAGCATAATGACATTTGTAAAGTCAAGAAAAAGTAGAATAAGGAATCTGCTTGTCGTTGGGTTAACGACGTACTGAACATGAGAAAAATGAATATTAGGGCTCTGCAGTAGAATAGACACAACATTTTGATTACAGTTTGCCTGAAAGCCTGGAGAACAGCAACTACTGTGGTTTGCTGTCAAGTAATTAACGGTATAAAACTAGATTTTTGATATAAATAGATTTGGCTCCTCTTCAGACAAGGCCCCTAAAAATGTTTATTTCTTGTTTGTTTATTTGCTTGATTGCTGCATTTGGGAATTAAATTGCACTTAATCCTGTCTGACACACATTCTGGGTCCCCTTAAGTTCTGCAGCGCTGAAGCAGCTTTAAGAAATGACAAATGATCTTGCGTGTTTTAATGGTCGTTGTGCAGGAACAGCCCTCTGAACCTGGCTGGCATGGCCGTGGAGCGCTACATCGCTGTCTGCCGACCTCTCCATCACACTCAGATCTGCACTGTGCAGTGGGCCTACACTCTGATCGCACTGATGTGGGGCGTCTCCTTCATCCCTGCCATCTCAAATGTCATCATCCTCCTCATCACACGGCCCCTTATTGTGTTCTCAAAGAACATCCTCTGTTTCCCCTCCTTAACGTACAACACATCACACCACAAGACACAGAATGTGGTTGTCGAGGTGAAGTGTTCATGTTTTGTTCATTGCCTTTCTCTCTGGCATCAGTTATTTCTGTCTGAAATGAGATCAAGTGGCAGATAAAACTGACCAGAGCTGCGTTTTTTTTCCCCCCAGGTCCTCCTGTGTTCCTTCGTCTTCCTGACTCTGATCGTCACCTACCTGAACGTCCTCTGTGCTGCTCAGGCTGCTTCTGCTTCCATCCAGGCCTCAGCTAGAAACGCTCGCAACACCATCCTGCTGCACGGAGTCCAGCTGCTCATCTGCATGCTGTCCTACACGTCCCCCTTCATCAACCTCACTCTAGTCACTGCTTGGCCACGCGAGCGCACCAAGATCTTCTTCGCCACCTTCCTGTTGACTAACGTGCTTCCACGTCTGCTCAGTCCGCTCATCTACGGCGTCAGAGACAAGAAGTTCAGCAGCCAAATCAGGATGCACTTCTGCAGCAAATGCAGAAAGTCAGTGGTAAAGAGAACCCACCTGAAAGGTGAATCCTAGAAATGTTCCGAGCAAGTGACTGACCTGTTTAAGCCCCCCTGTGTACTCACAGCTCAGGTCCATTCCTAATATTTAAAGTGGAGTTGGGGGCCAGACAGCGGAAAAGACATGATTTTTCACCTGTTGCTTTAAAAAGACAGTTTTCAAAACAAATTACTGAGCTTGCCTTGCTAAAACACACACACACACACACACACACACACACACACACACAAAACAACTGAGAAACACACTCATCTGTTCTGTTAAATCATTTAAATGTGATGTACAATCTAAATAATAACCACATAGACTCAGGGTTCAAGTATCAGCAGAGAACCAACCTCAAATTTAGTGTCCAAATAAGCAAAATCACATGTTCCTGGTCCGGTTCTGACCTGTGGATGTGTTTGTGAGAGGGCAAGGAGGGTAGAAGAGGAGAGTAGGAGCAATAGTGTACACTAGACTGGAGCAGGAGAAGACTGTGTAGTTGTTAAAATACCATAAACATTTGACATCAACACTGAACAGAGAAACTGATGATAACACAACACACCTCACAATTATTCTCCTGTTTGTTGAAACACATCACGTCAGGACAGCGCAACCGAATCGACCGGGAACAGGAATAAAGAGGAGCAGGATGAGATGGTGAAGTTCATCATATGCACCGATCTTCTTTGTCACTTGTCTTGTTAACAGTTGCCATGCCGTGTTTCAATAAATAAAGATTTATCATGTGTGCGTGTGTTGAATTATTATCGTCACCATCAGTTTCTGTTCAGTGTTTAGTTCATGTGTGTGTCTGTGTGGGAGCTTTCAATAACAGCAATAATAGTTTTTAAAAAGTCTCAGATACTGCTGCATTTCAACACCAAGATGACACATAAACAGCTTTGCACATATAATGACCATACATAGACCTCTATGCACACCAGATTTTGTGTATCTACAAATTAGTTCACATGACCAGGTTAGTTTTTTGTCACACCTCCAATTCTGCAGGTGTTAGAGGCCTCAAAAATTGGAGCAATGTCGGCAAAAGATGGTATTTTTTTAGGAAATATGGGCGCACCCATAAATATACTACTTTCTAGGGGTTCTGATACCAGTTTTGTCTTAAGGTTTGGCATTATTTTCCATTTTCAAGAGCCAGTAATTGAACATTTGGCCTTTGCTAGAGCCACTTAATCTTTTAAATATGCTGTTAACAATTTGGTCTGTGTCCAGTTTCCTTGCCTGTGGGAGTTTTATTTCTGTGAGATTTTTTTCTGAGTGTAAAAATACAGAAATCTGTCGGTCTGAAAGCATACAAATTTTCATAATATATAATATTATATTAATAGAGCTTAGATTTGGTTCCTAATTAACAAATAAATAAAGAAAAATCTGAGGCGGTGGAGCAACACTGCTATCTAAAAGGATTCAGAGCGACTTTAGATCCAGATATTACTTTTAAGGGGTAAATACTACATGTGGTTCTCAAACAAATACTTAAGAGAATCTATACATTTTTATAGACTGCAGTAAAATGAAAGCCAGCTTGTGTGAAATGTTCCTTTATTCTGTATAAGGGGTGACAACATGATACGAACAGTAATTATTAGTGAACGAGGAGACCGATAACGAATATTTTGAATCGAGGCTGTCTCTGTCAGAAAGGGAATCCGCACAGCTCAGCTTCATAGTAAAATGTACCAAGTAACAGAGAATGCAGCATATTTTACTAACTTGTTCCTTCACTAATAAAAAAAAAGTAAAAGCAGGGAAACAGACTCACATCGGTTTAGGTGTGAAACCAGATTTTGGCCACTAGATGGATTCATCATCACACATATGAAGATTCTCAAGAAGCAGGATGAGAAACTAACACATGATCATTATTGTGAGGGAGAAAATGTCTCATACAGGATAAAAGTTGTTCTTAATTCATTGACAAATGGAGAAAATCATGTGACATTTAATCTACCAAACAAGAGAAATGTCGAATATAGATTTTGTTTTATTTTATTTATTTACTTATTTATTTATTAATTTTTTACTGCTATATCTGGAAATGGGATGTTGGAGCTATGTTTTTTGTTGTTTTTTGTTTGTTTTTTATCAGAAAAATACATTAGAAAGTGAAATTCCCCCCTTTCACCCCCAGTAAAACTACAAAAGACATCCAAGTGATGAATTGTATGAATGATTTGTTTATCTCTGGGAACTGTTGTTGTTTATAGTTCACATTTTTGTCAAGTCAAGCTAGGTTTTTTTTATTTATTTCTAGAGCACATTTAAAGCATCCCATGTTGACCCAGTATGGATCCCAGCAGAGAGAAAAGGCACAAATTGAACTGATTAATTTTTATATTAATACTGCAACTCCACAATTTAACATTCTTTACACATGTATGGGCAATCCCATTTTAGTGAAAAGACCCAAATAAAAAAACAACAACAACAACAAAAACATCTATATTTTGGAAAATGAATCAGAGCTTTTAACAGCAATTTTGTCTTAATGAGAAAAAACTGTAAAGTCAGCTGCAGGAGTCTGTGGGAAACTTTAATGTGTCTCCCTGGATATTAGATGCATATTAAAACAACTCACGAGTTCATTAAATGACGGCTGAGCTTTGCATTAAGGTCAACATAGTTTTAAACCTCAGCTGGAGGTGGGGGAGGAAAACACTGATGCACAGGAAAGAGGAAATGCTATTAAGAACCACAAGGCCACTTAAAAGTTATTGAGTGCGGCGAATGAAGTCCCTGTGCAGCTTTAAAAAGGGAAATGTTATAGGTTTATTATTAAACTTGTTCCAAATTAACCGCTGAGTGCCGCAAACACATCATAAAAAAACAGCTGCTCCTCTGTATTAAAGATATTTCTCGAGATCCCGAGCCCCTTCCGGAGTTTGACGGAAACAGCCGAAGCGTGCCTCCGAGCGAGAAGGCGGACTAACAGGGACTCAGATGGAGGAAACCTGCGAGGCAACAGCTGACTGTGTCTCTTCCTGCCGACTCTTCAGAAGGGGGAAGGACGGAGCAGCTGGAAGTTTGGAGCAGATGGACCGTGACACAGTTTTTAAACGTGGAGGTGCGGAACTTGAACGCATCATGGGGTGAAGCGGACATGTGAGGAGGATGCTGAGAGTCGTGATAAAACTCACAGGTAAGTGAACAGTCCTGCACTTTTTCATTCACTCTGAGGCTTGTGGTGTTTTAGTGAATCCTCGCCGCTCACTTTAAGCCTGTTTCTCCTCGTGTGAAGTTGAAGTGAGTCGTTCCAGCAAACGGACTCACTTCTTTGTGTTTGAGGCAGTAGTTTGTTATTGAAGGTGCATTTTTCCACCGCTGTGATTTCGAGCCGCAGTGCTGAATTATAGATCAACTTTATTTCTGTATGTGCTCCCCGGAGAGCTCAGCATGGGCCCTTCATGCAATCACACACACACACACACACACACACACACACACACACACACACACTTTTATTTACTGTCTCCTTTTGTTTGGCGAGTGTACAAAATGAAAAAAAAAGTTAACATTGAAGAAGAATACAACCCAACTAGTATTTAATATTTAACTTACATTTCTTGCTGTGTTCACTGCCCAATACAAATAAGTGGTTTTTATCTTTATAAATACAGACAATATGGTGATTCTAAATGAAGTGCAGTTATATTTGTGAAGTCAGCTCAGATCTAAATACCAGTCGAAGTGACTTTACTAATAAATAAACCTCAGAAAGTTTGCTAAAAGTTCCCATTTTGAGCTTTCATCCGATACAAATGGTTTCGTGCAAAACTGAAATTTTGATCTTTTGCCACCAGTTTAAATAACAAC